TGTTTGATTCAACTTCCCTCTGTTGTTGTGACGCGCGCTATGAATTTCGTGACAAACATGCGTATATAGTACAAACACAAACAGGCGTACTCAGAGGGTAACCTGTGGTAGGATTTCTCGCAGGAACCAGCTGAAGCCTGAGTCCTTATGACTTGATGCAATACTACTGGTAAGCAAAATGCGATGGAGGTAGCGCTTCTTCCTCCTTAGCAGAATTCCCTCATGGACACGGGGAAGGGGTCGCTTAAACCGAAATTCAGCTCCACTTCTTCACGTGACCAGCCCGTAAGAACAAAAAGACAGAACTCTTATCGAGAACTCCTTCTTCTTTAGGTCCTTTTTCTTCTCTCTGTTTTTCGAGCCCGAGGTGATAGAGTGCTTACAGTCCGTTTTCCCAGAATCCATATCAGCAGGGGTCGAATACCACCCAGGCCATGTCCCTACTCGTTTGGATTCAGTTACATAGTGGTATACTTGTTAAGAAAAGTGAAATCATCGAATTACACATCAGCTTGTCCGGCAAGATTTTGCACAAAACAACTTGAATCCAGAAGCCACCTCGACTCGAAAGCAAAATGCGTGGCGCGTGCAAAAAAGGAATTGGTCTGAATTGGTCAGCGCTGCAGACCCATCCCGCCCTTATCCGTAAAGGTAAGGTTTTTTGATGGGTTGTCCTGCCCAGCCGCTTGAAATTGAGTCTAAAAGGACTGAAACATCCGGTATCGTGTGTCATGGAGTCTTGCCTCAGCTTGAATTCAAATGAGATTTACTGCTCCAGTCGACAAACTGATGCACCGTCAGGACTTGCCGCGCGTCGCCGGGCGATGCCGCGCGCGACGACGCGATGAATACGGTTGTCCTGTCCGTCTCCCATGTTTTTCGGGGAAAACGTTACTGTGGGGTTGAATGTGTTACGTTTCAGAAAACAAGTGACGTGTTTTATAGCAGTTATATTTAGGCATGAATGGCAAAACTGTTTAGAAAAATCAATAATGCTTAGCTATGAATTTGTCACGAACAATAAAGAAAAACGTTCGCGTCTAAAGTTATCCAGAACACTTTCGAATTTCCGAGTAAGGTTGACGAAGACGCTGGATGAACAGTTAGTTGGTCTTGAATTCGCTCAAATTTCTGCTCATTTGATAGAAAGAAGTGCGTTTGAGGAACTGAAAGATTGGAATTTAATGCTCAGAGTATCTTTTGAAACAATACAGAGCCAATATTCACGTATACCCGATGTGCGCTTAAAGCTTTGTTCTGAGTTGCTCCAATTCTTAGATGCTTGTCTTCTTTGACAGAACTACGCGACGTTAGTATAGCACTTAGGTCATGGCTTCCATGTTGAACATGATCTCTCCTTGAAAAGGAAAATTAAGAGTAATTATGGAAAAGGTTGTAAGGTTCAAGCTGACAGGCCCCTTTGAAAGTAAAACTCGAATGGCCCCTAGATCCGAGCCAGATATCCAATTTGCGAAGAAGACTTCTATCCCGGTTTGAGGGGGTGGAGTGGTGTGTGAACAAACCAGTGGCGCGTTACCACCTTACGGCGCTCCCGCCCGGCCAGACCAAACCTTCTACCCTCCAGGAACGTAAAAGCTGATTACCCAGCGTTCGCCCTGGGAGGATAAACATAGCTACATTTGTAACATCGGCTGGGCCCTCCACAAGTCATTGATTAAGATCGCCCATTTCCCCACCCAACTCAATAAGTCACAGATCCTTAATGAAGTAGAAATGCGTGCTGGCCAACCCAAACACCGATGAACAACGGGCGAGAACTTTATCTTTTTATATACTTTATGTATAAGGAGCTGCAGCAGCGCGTGACCACGTTTGATTCTTTTTTCTGCGTTTTTTTGAGAAAACTTTGATTTTTTTATTGCGACCTTTTCACCACGAACTCGCAACTGTTCTATTTAGGGGAAAGACTTTTACTTTCGGACGAGGGCCCCGAAGGCCAACCTTTTATCGCGTTCACGAGGATGTTCAAGCAGGGGTTGGGACTCTTTTCTTCAGGAGACATTTTTGACGATTCGGGAATATTCTGAAGATTATAATTCTGATTTGGACAGCCATTTCTCCCTCCAAAAACAGTAATTTTCTATGCATGCGGAGGGGGGCGCGCCGGATGGAATGCAGCCAGAAGCCAGCCCACATGATTTGGTGTAAAGGGGGGGCTGTCCTCAAACTGCTGGAATTCCACGACAAATCTTTCAATTTTCTGTCTCCCTCCACCCCACACCCTATATCTTTTTTCCCAGACAGGCATAATTGAAGCGTTACCATTTGATACCTCTCCACCTCTAACAGGTTTCACTTGCTCGAGGGCGACTTTGTAATTGTCGTTCTCTTTTCTCAAGGAATCAACCTCCGATCGAAGCTTGATATTTTCCTTCTGATACGGTTTCAGTGCCTTCTGCAGTGGATCAATTTTTTTTATCAGATAGGCGGAAATGTTACTTGGAAAGCACCTCGAGGCTCGAGACTTTCTTGCGCAAGAACCTGCATCTGCTCTTCTTTCTGTATGCATAAAGAACGCAGTTCTTCATTTTCTTCCACATGGCGTTTCTGCAAAAAAAAACTTGAGAAACGATCAGGAAAACGCGCTGAATGTGACGTGCATTCGCATCACGGCCCTACTGATTTGACGCGGAAAGGCCACTTTAAGCCGATTTAGCTTTTTCGGAAACGACTCCACGGAAAAACACACCCAGCGAGCGCACTCGTCGCGTGCTCGGGGTTGCGGCGATAACGCGGTGGGAATGGAACAAAAGCCAGCGCTTTACCACGGCAGCTCTAGCGCGATAAACTTTCTAGCACTTGGCTAATAAATGGCAAGCGGGAAAAGGAAAAGCGGAAGGCAACAAGAAACGAAGGGTGACTAATTAACAGCACTGGAATATGGAAAACTGCTGAAAGGTTTATTTGAAGGGTAGGGGAGCATTTTCTAAGAGGTACGTTGCTTCCATGGGAATCACCGATTGTGTTTATCAGTAGACGCCCCAGCGCTACTCATTGAAGGCAGACATGCGCTCACAAAGAGCTAGTCTATCAAGTCATGGCAGCTCCTGCCAGTGTCCACTCCTGCCCCACCATCGCAGCGACACCGATCAGCAGGCCGCTGTACAGGCCACTCTCCCACCCCTTTCCTTCTCCTTTCTTCCTTCCTTCTTGAACTTCTCTCCCACCGCTTTCCACCTAGAAACCGCCGAGCAAGTATTATTGTGCAACATTTCAAGTCTGCTGACCAGCATCCTCCAATATCTTCATATCAGCTTATGAATGGACGCATTGGTACGCTTGGAGCGACAGAAAGGAGTCCTGCAGTGTCATTTTCTCCCACACGGCGTCTAACGGAAGTGCACTTATCACGACAGAAGCCGTATGTGCTATGAACCTCTTTTTCCCTTTTCAACGGTAAAAGTGGCGGAGGAACTATGGGAATCCTTGGACAACTTGGCATCATTGTTCATGTTCCTTCTAATTGTTGAAGGAAAACTCTTCCTCTTCACTGCCTCAGAATATTTACCTCTTGATGCTTCAACATGTTCGTTTTGTGATCATATTCTTCTTTCAGGGTTTGGACCAACTGCAGGTTGAGCATGTTGTTCTTTTGCGAGTCTTCCAGCTGAAATGAGCTGAGCAACCGTTAGCCATCAAAGGCACACTGAGGATAGAAAAAAGATCGGGCGTCGGAATGGTGGTTTATAATATCTTCTAAATAAAAAAGAATTTTCGATAAACTGATCGAGGCGTCATTAAGAGCTTGAATTATGTACGAGTGTGACAACGTTTCAGTGTTTCTTTGGAACTTACTGGCGTCAAAAGCCGTTCTCTGCGCGCTTCTTTGTTTGAAGTGCGCCATGCCATAACAGGTGGCTTATATTACAGTAAGTGGGGACGGTGAAGTGCGGTAGTTCTCACAAATTAATTTTCGGAAGCTTGCCGGCAGTACGCTTCCAGAATTGTTATCATCAAGAATGGCCCAGAGTTGGTGGGCAAAAGTTATTGCCAGGCGGTAGGAGTCTGACCTGCTTCCTCAACGCTTTCTGGGCGAGTGCGCTATCCTGTTGTGATGTTGTTGTGATAACATTCGGAACGCGCAGCGCGGCGTCAAACAGCATTTATCATAACAAAGCAGCTTCAAAAATTTGCAAAGCTTCGGCCTTGCGGTTCCATGCCGATATCTAACGATTACGGCTGACCGGCTCACCAAGTTAAACGTGTGAGTGCTGTAAGGTTACGGCATAAGCCGTTAAGCTGAGAGGGTAAAAGCGGCCCTGGTGGCGTAACGGATAGCGCACTCGCCCGGAAAGCGTGAGGTGCGGGTTCGACTCCCGCTGGCTGGGGCACGACTTTGCCCAAAACTCGAGCATTCGCTGATCTCAAAATAATATTATTTCGACCATTCGTTCGGCGAAGCCGGCCGATCCGACTGGCCTTCCATTTCGAAAACTTTTCACCGGGACCCACTTCACACGCGGAAGGACGAGTAATACGAACGATGTGATACAGTCATTTGCTCGCTTCAACAACTGGTAGAGAACGGGTTTGGCACCGCGCCAAACGCATCCCGCCTGACACGCCCAACCGTCCGCAGCGGACTACATTATAGTTTGCTGCGGCTAGCGTGACCAAAAGGCGACTCGTTCATTATTTTACCTTTCCCCCACGTGCAAATAGGAGGGATCTTAGGGCTTCAAGCTAAGGCGGAGTTATGTCAGCAGTGACTCCTAAAATGCTTCAGACCGATAATGCATGAGAGGAGTCACTTACAGATTTGGAGATCTTTTCGAGTTCCATGGACTTTGATCCAAGTTCTGCACGATAATCGGAGACCATTTTCTGCGTTTTCACCTTTTCCTCTTTCAGTCCTTCCAATTCACGACGCCAGCGGTTCACTTCATCGGTGAGTTCCAAATTCTGAACATAAGGCAACGATATCCAGATATCTAGAAAAGCGATGTTGTCGTTTTCATGTCCTCTAGAGTTTCTGCTTTGAGCTTTGAGTTCGTCACCAGGAGCATAGTTTCAGGGCAAACTATGCTTTTGGTGACGAACCTTAGTGGGCCTTATCCAAAAGTTCTACGATGATGACATAGACAGAGTTGAGCCTTCCAATCTGCTTCGATTGCCTTTCCTCTTTACCGCCTTTGGAGAAAAGGGCGAATTAAAGACAACGCCCGCGATCACCTTTCACAGGTTGTAGAGCTTAGAACCGTCAGGTCGTGTTGTAAGTACAGCGCTAAAGAAGAAAAAAGCAAAAGAAACCGTTGATGCCTCAAAAAGACCCCATGTACGGGAATGAAAACGGACGAGTTAATCAAACTCTGGACGAGTTCTCTGAATCTAATCGCCACTTGCTGCGCCTCATTCTCTGAGGCATATTCGAAGACTCAATTATCACCGCTAACAAATCTTGGTAATAAAGATGATTGAGGTGGAACTTGTTGACTCCGCCTTCATAGGCGGAGTCAGCTTATCGTTGCTGAGTTGTCGCGCTTTTATCAAGCGCTTTTGAGCTGCGAAAAAGAGATCACCGCTGGGTCTGTACCTTAGTTGATCGCGGACGCTGTCTTTAATTGAGGGTAGGGTAGGCCAAGCTCCGCCCCATGACGGACGTGGAGCCCAGGGGAAGTAAAAGGCAAAGCCTACGATCATTCGCCATCAGAGATAATGGATTCGAGGTTTGCATTTACGGGGGTGGGGGGGGGGGGATAAAAAAAGACACTTTTCTTCCGCGCCATCGAGAGATTCTGCCACGCGACCGTGATCGGTGCCGAGTTCAGCGAGATCGTTGATTTCTCCGCCACTGTAGACCACCCTGTTGAGCTCCGCCCGAACCGGTAATCGAGGGGGTTTAGGTCAGGTGACACACTTGGATATTCCGTCTTCTTCAGGTACTCAACGCCCTTCCATTCCAAGTAGGCGAGAGTTTTTCCAACGCCCTTCGATTCCATGTCATGGCACGCAAGACAGAAAGGCAAGATATTCTCCTCGAGTTGCTCGATGTAACAGTCAGCGTTCACTTTCAGTCCGGGGTCCACGAAGAAATATCGGTCTTCCCATTCCAGGAACTTCCGGTCATACCATCAACCGCGCCTTGGCGACTGCGGTGAAGATGATATCCTGGACCGTAGCGACGTTGTCGGAGCTGCTCGATGTTGGAGGTCTTCCAGATCAAGAGTGCTGGTCCCTCAGGAGGCTGTCCATGGGTGGCTCCATACAAGAACTCCCGCAGCTGTTTGGAGGTGACGTGAATTCCATAGGCCTTCTCCAGTCTGGCTGCGATCGGAGATGGCTTCATATTTCGCGTACAGTAAGGTGATGGACTAGAGCCTGCTCCTTTCTATCGAGGAACAGCTCGGGTGTCTTCCGCCCTGATACTCTAATCCATGTCTTATCTGTGGGATGCCTTTGAGCAACGCTGACCTGACCGCATGTTTGAGAAAGAGCTTCGGTAGTGGAGAAGGGAGAGCAGGCATATTGCAATAGCAAGAATTATGGCCTGAAGAGTGAGATGGTACAAGTTTTGGTGCCGTCACAACATGAAAAGGACCAGTGAAGAGACACAAAAAAAGATGTTTCAACAGTGGCTGTGAGCGGGGAGATAGGAGTCCCGTGAACATCCAGAAACTACAGAGCTTGGCGAGCGCAGCATTTTCTAGCCTAGTGGACTCGTTTTAGCGGTAGTGCGACCACTTGAATCAGTAAAGGTCCTGAATGGCAATGCCACGCACGGTACATTACCTGCAAGAGTCACGTTGCTTCTACCATACCTGACCGCTTCACTCACATTTTCAAAAACTACACAAATATATGTAAGCTTCATCACCTTCTGTTTTGCCTGTTCTTCTCGAACTTCCATTCGTTCTATGATGTCTTTCCACTCGGCCCTTTCTTTTTCGCAAACAGCAAGCTTCTGATTAGCAGCGAACAGCTTTGAAAACGGTTTACGGGGTTCGAACTTACTGTAAAGATAAAGGTGATTGAAAACAACATTACTCTGCTATCGAGATCCTTTTATCGTTTCTGTCACATCCACATCGAGAACGGAATGTCGCTGTCGTTTGTCTTCAATTGCCATGCGCATCTCCAGTTGTTCGAATTGTTTACCGTATGCTTCGATGATCATGGTCACGGCCGGCGGGTGCGGCGCCGGGCGCCGGTCGGCCGCCGCCCGGCGGCGCGCCGGCGCGGGGCGGGCCGCCGGCCGGCCGCGCTCCCCCCCGGGGGCCGGGCGGCGGGGTGCGGCGGCGGCGCCTCACTCGAGAGAACTGCCTGTAGATTTCTCCTTTTGTTTTCGTCATCCTTCATTTTCAATGGTATTTCGCAGCCCGATTCTGCCATGAACGTAGCTATTTCTTCACGGAAACCGTCCATTATGAATCTGGCTTCTTTCAGACTTTCCGTCGTTCTTTCCAGTTCATTTACAACCTCTTCTCTTTCATTACCAATTCGCTCCTTTTCGATTAGTAGACCTTTGAGTTCTTCTCTTCCCTTACAAATTAACTCGTCCCTTTTGTTCAGATAATTTCGTTTCCAGCTGAAATATGAAAAGAAATAAGAATATTCTATCTACAACTTTCATGAGTTAGACAGATATAGCCGACAGAGCACGATGATGTACAGTACCACCAAACTGCGCGTAAATTAAAGAGCTTGGATCCCCAGAACAGCTACATCCTTTGTTGCGCGCCTACGGAGCATCCTAGCCATTACCTGAACTGTTCAATCGATGGAGGGCGGAACTTGCGTCGCTATCGACCACCGGGTATGTGGCAAGTGAACCGTAATTTGCCGCCCAGTGGGCGAACAGTCGCGCCCGCCTAAGACGATTTATACATTGGTATTGGTGAGATAGACATATTAACAAAAAGACAAAAATGTTACTATATCCTCGATACATGAAATTGACGATGCCCCATTGCAGGGGAACGTCACACCATCGCGCGACGCAACGATCTACGCGTTCTGGTTCTGCCCAACTATCCAACGGACCACCAGCCTCACCCTAGAGCTTTTCTCCCTCCACGGACTCTTCGTCCCCATTCTTCTGGCGAAGGAAGTGGTCACTACATCGAAGAGAAAATAGGGCGCGCAGGAGCCGACATAGAAGCATTGCCATATGTTGCTCTCCTCTCCCCCCATTGCCCCCTCCTCCAACCTTTCCTGGCAATAGCTCAAAAGAGCTCCTTGGGCGGTGAAGTGTTTTACCCATCCCACATCTCTTTCCAGTTACACTTGAGTAAAAAGGCCTGTTCCGTAGCATCCTTCCTTTGTACTTTTCAGAAGCTGACCTCGTCAATGCGAGCTTGCGCACTTGGCAGCATGTTCTTCCTTCTCCATCTGATGGGTTCTCCGTAGAATTTCACATTGCTCGAAAATCCTCGTCTTCTCAAGTTCATCGCGACGAGCCAATTCGGCTTCCAAATTCGTTACCTTAACAGAGAGAAGAACTCTTGTCTACTTCTAGTTTGTTCTCCACGAAATTGCTTAGAATGTTCTCTAGCCCCTCCTGTGTTCCATTAGTGTCATCTTTCACTACTGCATTCAAAAGACTGATGAACTTATCAGGCAACTCACAGACACAGATTTCTCTTGTAGTTTCAGAGACCACTCCTCCACCACAGATTGGACTTGCTTTTTCTCGTTCTCCAATAATCGCTGGAGCCTTTCGACCTGGAAGTCGCGCCTTTCACCTCAGTTACGAGAGGCTGTGTTTGCATGAAGAAGCATTATAAGTGCGTATGACACCAGTGCGACTGTAGATTTTATACTACTCAAATATTTTCGTTTTTTTTTGAGAGGGCTATTCTTGAGGACAAACTGAGCACTGACCTCCGAGGGCGGCCCGTGTGTGTGAGAAGAACGGGGTGACGACTCTACAAGTGCAGTGCCTCTGTCATCTGAGCGCATGCGAAAACAAGGGTGAAAGGAGTGGTACCCGTTTGAGACTGCGCCTCGCTGTTCTCAAGGTGCAGCACTTGTGTCGGTATCAAAATCCCGAGGCGAACATGCACTAGGAAGTAGAGAACCACCAGAATGAGAGAGCGCAGTCGATAGCGCGAATAGTCATTGTTAGGCGTGAGCTGGCCGCACGGCAGCGCAACCGGAGTCCAGAGACGGCCTTCAATTATAATTTTCTCCACCCTCGTCCGTGGGCACCAGCGGAAATAGTGGCTACTGCAGCTGCGGACCCGCGGCAAGGACCAGGATCCACGGAGGTGAGTGTGCACTTTATCTCTCGAAGATCTGTGGAAAATTTGACCTCTTCTGTTTTGGAGAGCATTTCTCGTGCCATATCCGCGTTTCTCTCCATATCAGCCAGCCGCAGCGGAAGACAAATGATCCGCTACCTGAAATGCACTGAGTTTAGCTCCGACACGACCCGTGAGAGACTTATAGCATGGCTCGCTGGAGACGAAGGGCCCGGCGGGATGGATATGGCTCGGTGCCAAACCCTTTCTATATCAGTTTTTGAAGCGCGTAAGCGACAACTACCACACTCCGATCTGGACCCTCGCAACCATCGTCACGCGCAGCTACATTAGGCTGCGTTTATACTTTGCGGCAGCGTAGCGTAGCGCTTCCAGCGTACGCCAGCGGCAGTGCCGGGGAGAGGATGCATATCGATCTAGCGTTCCCAGCGTCACCAGCGTAACGCTAGCGTACGCTAGCGTTTCGCCAGCGTTTCACCAGCGTTTTGCTGGCGTTTGCAGCGGCAGGGGAGTAGAGACTATGTGGCCGTAGAGACGCGCAATCGATGTGTTTTGTACCCTCCAGCTCTCCCATAGTCTCTACTCCCCTGCCGCTGCAAACGCTAGCAAAACGCTGGTGACGCTGGGAACGCTCGATATGCATCCTCTCCCCGGCACTGCCGCTGGCGTACGCTGGAAGCGCTACGCTACGCTGCCGCAAAGTATAAACGCAGCCTTCCTCTCTACCAAATGTGGACTCTGTGCAGCTGCTTACGACCTACCGTTTTCTCTAGACGACTCCTCCAGTCTGCCACGGTAGCTTGATATTCTTCCCTTTGTGATTCATTGCTTTTCCTGAGTTCTTCCACTTCTTGTTGAAGTCGCGTGCACTCACTTTCAACGTTTTTCAATGCCTAAAGTCGAGAAACCTCAACATACATTGCCACCCCACGGCACTTGAGGAAATATGTGGATGTCTTATAAAAGATTGACCTGTGGGCTTCCCAACAGTCACAAGCGATTGCCCATCAGAGGCACATTCCACGCTGGTCGTATGGGCGGAGCGGGCCTACAACTGTGCCTCCTCACTGGTGCGCATATTATCCTTGCTCAGTCAGTGAGCAGAGGGAAGCACCAGTAAGGAAGACATGATGGGAGGCCTGGTTCCTCCCACACGGCCAATGTGTTAAGCATTCAAAAGTTGCCTAAGGAGCAATGTCCGATTGCCTTAGAGGTGAAGCCTTTTCGCGTACAGGTGAGAAGATTAGTGGAAGTAGAAGTGTAGCTTTCTCGCCACAGGGTGGGCGGCAATGAAGCATGTAAAAGCTATATATTCCGGTTCTTCCCCGTTCACTATCATTCTCACCGTCATTCGATGCACCATTCGCACGAGAAACGTTGCAAGCATGCTACCAAGGCGCTCGCTGCAAGACCCAGGCGAGGAATCCTGACGAAAACGTAGTGATAGGGCGTTTGGCTACGGAATGGGCATATGGGTTGTGGGGGCGGGGGTGAGGGGGAGGGTACGGGGGGGAACAGGGTGGAGCAGTCAGTTACGTGATTGCTTGAAGTTTGGGCATAAAAATCCAGTTGTCATGACCCTTTTTCATTACCGCACGCTTTCAAGTGGCGAAAGTGGCACACATCCATCACTGTAGGGAAATTTCTTAACAATACTACCTTCTCGAAATTTTCCCCTCTGGTGCGACTTCTCTGTTTCCGGTACTACTACTACCATCTTCCTCTCTAGATTCTGCCAGCTTTCCACCACCTTTCGGACCTTTTCAAGGAGTCCTGTTTTCGTGCAAAAGTCGTCGTGCGAAATAGGAAGGCGGTTTATAGCGTACATGAAGAAAAATGCAAACGACACTGCCGAGAGCGCTCAAATAAGACCACTCTTGAGTTCGGCAGGGGTCACAGTGTTCTTAGAAACTTCCGGCTTCGCCAGAGCATTCTATGCATCCGCCGCACCCCAGCAGATTTCGACGTTTTTTTCGAGTACACCACCTTCATATTATATTTGTCGTCACGTCGACGTTTGGTGGAAGCAATGAGCGGAGCCCCCAGACACGCCACAAGTGCCAGGGATCCTTGCCACACGAACTCCAAGGCAAAAATGGCACATCCTAATTAACCCTGAACGCGAAGAGGTCTCTCAGACAATCGCTGGACGTGCCTGTAATGCAAGTCATTACCCGCGGGGATTCCAGAAGTTCGGCTCCCGAAACATGTGGGTGCATTCAAAAAGACGGGTCGTCACCTTTGAGCGGTTCACAAGTTCGTCATTAACATCTCGTAACTTCCTTTCAAGAAGAAGGACAGAATTGTTCTTATGGTTCAGTGCTTCTTCCAGAGTTGCTCTCTTCGCTTCCCATTTCTCCTCGTTTTCTTTGTACTCCATCAACTAAACAAAGAATTAATGTGAATATGATACATAAAGAGTTAATGCGTTTATCCTTTTAAAGACAGCCCCCGCGATCAAAGTGGCTCGTGGTCGCCTTTGCTGTGCAAGTAGTCTAGCCTCCAAGCTAGAAGACTGTTCACCTTTCGCGACTCTATTGTGAGCGTGGAGGCTGCTATAGCCGCTCAAAGTGCTAGTTCTAACTCCTCCTCAGTC